CTGCAAGTCATAGCTGTAACTGTCAATTTTATAATGTTGCAATGCCTCATGGGAAATGTAGTTCCAGAACAGCTAGAGAGCCGCAGGTTGCCTACCCCTGGCCTAGGCGATCGGAAGCAAAAGGTATCCTCCGTCCCTCCCTGTAGTCTTTTGGACACGTGACAGGTCCCAGAAGACTACAGGACCATTCATTCGGGTGCCCACACTGAAGATGCCGGCCTCCTGGAATACAGGACGGCCGGTGAAACAGGCTGTGGGGGACACACCATGGGACTAAGGGACAGGTAAGTGGCTGTGTTTTTAAAAGTCAGCAGCTACAGTTTTTGTAGCTGCTGACTTTTATTTTTTTGACATGGGTGAGTGGAACTCCGCTTTAAGGCTTGTTAGAAGCTTGGGTGTGAGTTAGAATGTCTACAAGTTTACATTAGGTCAGGGCTGGAGGACTCTACAGGTCAGTCCTCTAGTACCATCCACTACTCTAGAAACTTGATTTCTAGAAGCCAGTAGACAGAGGTGTGGAGGGGTTAATCTTCATATTTATGGGAGTCTGACCAATCAGAGTTAAAAGTTGGTTGAAACTGCCTATAAGCTTACACACTCTAAACGGTCCTCATTTACAAAAACTATGTAAAAAGAGGACAAAGAAATCTCTTTATTTAAAGAGAAGTATGGGATTGTTTTATTTTTTTTTCTAATCATAAATCAGGCTGACTCTTGTACGACATACTGTAGATCTCAAGGAGATTGTACAATCAGGTTGTATAGCGTATGATCGCCTTTAGGCTTTAAGAGGTCTGTTGGTCCTTTTTTTGGATGCATTACAAAATACTATACAATTATGCCAAAGTGAGTTCTCAAATGAAAACTTACAATTGTGTGCTGATTTAAAGTAGATGTAAGCCCAGTCCCTAAAATCTCATATAACCTTGAAAATGCTGTGGATTCAAATTCCCATATAATATTTGTATTACTGTAAATGTAATTAAAATAATACATATATCCCCAGCTTGAAAGTGCTGATTCTGGCATTTCCTGTTAAAGGGTGACAACACTCTGTCCCTAGAAATAATTCCCATCGAATATGTTCCTGGAGATGGCTGGTGTTTCCACAAGGTAAACTAGGCAGCTGCCTAGGGAGCAATGACACCTAGGGGCGCCTGGGCGCAGCACAGACGGGCACTCTCTCTGTGTGGTCTATGGACCTCTTGAATGAATTCTTCATTTCTCTGCACAGGGAATGATGGTATCTTTACTCTGCACAATTGTCTCACAGCCTGTCCACACATATGACCATTTAGTACCTTCTTCTACACAGCTGGAGCCAATTTTGAAGACAAGGGAAGTGGTGTAGTGCTGGGAGGCCGCCTGTTGTCACTGAGAGCCACAGCCTGGACTTTGCACCCAGCAGGAGCCATCAGAGGTGAACGGAGCCTAGGAAGATAGCAGGTCATGGAGGTGATGGGAGGAGGAGGGGGGCGGACAATGGTCATGGTGAGGGCAGCGGATGCTGATTGATTGTGTGGGACTCCGCCATGTCATGAATGATCCTTCAGCTGAGGGGAGGGGTGGCGGGGGGAGGAAGAAAGGACAGAGGAAGATGCTGGGTGTCTGGGGCCAGTGTAGCAGCTGAGCTGCAGCTACTTCCAGTGTTCCTCTCAGACTCAGTCCCTTACTGTAAGCCGACTGGTGGCTGCTGATCACTGTGGAGTTTTGTAACTTTTTTTTTTTTTGTTTCTCTGTCTGATTGGTTAATACATTTAATCTATATTTGGTTAATATATATTTTGTGTTTAACATTGGTGCTGGTGGCATCTTTTAGGCACTTATTTTTGCAAATTAAAAGAAATTTAACAGTTTTCATGTTTTGTTGATTTAATATTCGCTGTTTTACATTTTTTTTTTTTTGGGGGGGGGGGGCACAAGTAGCTGGTCTTGCCTAGGGTGCAAAATTGTCTAGCACCAGAACTGAACAGGAGGGTTCTGTAACAATATCTCATGGTAACCAGTATCAACAAAAGTTTAAAGCATATATTGCCAGCACACTGTGGATTTTCAAAATAGTGTACAAACATTTATTGTGTCCAATAAATATTGTCTAAAATGTATTGTGTCCAAAAGTTTCAGTGAAAGCTGAAACATTGCAATTCTTTGCTGTGATGTGGTCGCTTTAATACATTTTTGGGTGCTATTTTGAAAATCCATGGTGTACTGGCAATATATGCTCTAAAATAGAAAATAATCAATAGAGAAGATGGGACTTTCAGGGTGCATAGACATGAATACCACACATTAAAATTATAGAATTTTTATTTCGTATTTCGGTAAAACACAAGAAAGGAAAAAATGCAAAAACATAAAAACAATTTTCAATTCTAAGAATACCAACTGAGATTCAAACTTGGTTAGGTAAATGTAGTATACTCCCTACATGTTTCGCCCTCACGGGCTTCTTCAGGGGTGATTTTTTGAGGAAATTTCTACCACCAAGGCAGCCCTGGATGTGAAAGCTCACAGAGCTAGAAGAAAATTACCTAAAAAAAATCTTAATTGGCCTACACGTCCAAAACAGTTGTAGAGGATATAATGGGCATCAAATATTATTTGTTAAATATTGCAATTCAAGTAGCAAGGAAAATGTAGGGAAAAAGGATTTTAATTGAGGATCAATTTTCAATTCCACCACCAGATATCAGCAAAGGACAAAAGTCCAGACGATATTAGCTCCGTTCAGATCCAATACAGCCTCCAAGATACTCAGTGTGCACTGGTGATTAGCAGAAAGAGCATTTTTAAATTTCCCACCCTCTTTTATATCCTCACCACCGGCCGAAGTATGACATCAATGGCCGGGTGTGGACGTTTAAGATACAACTGCACATGTGCAAAGGCTCTTCTGCACGTCTCATGTCTATGCACTCTGAAAGCCCCATCTTCTCTATTGATTATTTGCAATTTTAAGGGATGTGGTGCAATAATCATATCTGGTCACTCGCTCGCCACTTCACTGTTTCTCTAAAATAGAAGCATAGCCAAAGCTATTTTGCCTATATTTCCCCTATGGATTACAGGAGTGCAGTTACTTCTGCACTGCTGTGATTCATTTTCAGCTGACAGCAGATTGAAGCCCGCTGTCAGCTTATTTCTCTTCCAGAGCCAGTCCAAGCTCTGAAAAGATCTCAACCATATGGTTGGGATCCACCCAATAGCACTAAGATCAGCACCTGGCTCAGCTTTCTCAGCAATCCTCCAAGAGTCTGTGCCAGCCGCTCTCTCCCCCTGGTGCTCGGAGCTCCAGTGAGTACTGGAGGGGCAGAGTAGAGAGCTGGAGACTGACAGTCACAGCTCTCTGCTCATGGAACACTGAAAACTGAGCAATCAACGGTGTTTGATCACTCAGTTCTCAGTGCAGAGCCAATGGGTATAGATGCAGCAGCAGATTGTGCTGCATTCATCTAGGTAAGTATGATTTTTGCTCTGTCCCTGGCTCATGATTGTCTTACTGTATTGCCAAACTGCCACATAAGCTTCCAACGTTGACTACATGTGACCATTTCAACACTTATTATCCAAACAAAGCCCACTGTTGTCACCAAACATTTCATGCTCCCATTTCTACAGTGCATGCATGTAGAAAGGTAGAGACTGCAAGGAGACTGCAGGAGATCAGCAGCACAGAGATGAAACTAGGATAAAATAAATATTTTATTTTAAAAAAATGAATAAATATATATTTCTAGATATAAAAAGACCATATGGTTGAGATCAGTATTCCAAGTGAAAGTGATATTTTTGTTATTCATTATTATTACATTTTAGATCTAGAAATATATAAAAATAATGGTGAATTTAAGACCATTTAAGAAATTATTTTAAACCCACTGACCATAATGGGTATATTCCTCTGTACAGCTGCCACCATAGGAACGTGGTTATGCAATATTCCAAGAGGTCAACTTATATGACTCAGACATAATTGTTCGTCAGGTTATTCTAAATTGGCCATAGATGATGAGGTTGATAGGGTCAAGGCTATGGATAGAAACTTCTTGGTTTCTGACACTCAAGCTTCTAAAAGTAGGACTTCTAATGAGTTCAAAATGATACTTGATTTTGTACAATATAAAAAGTTGGAAAAGATTATTGCCAAACATTGGGGTATATTGAAAAAAGATAGAGTGTTGGGACCTGCTCGTCTGCAATGTATCTGGTGGGAAGAGAGATTTTACAGTACCGGGAGTGGTGGATCCTCCTTTACATAAAGAGAACAAGATATTTTCTTTTCTGTCTGGGTTTTATGCCTGTGGGCGTTGTACAGCTTATAAACATTCTAAAATTAATATTAAGAAGCGGAAAGAATTCCCATCTGCAGTCACTGGAAGGAATGATAAAATACAGGATTTGATCACTTGTAGCACACAAGGGGTAGTCTATATGTTGGAGTGTATATATAGGAGGACATCTAGGTCCTTATACATCAGACTGGGGGAACATGCTATTAACATTAACCACTAGCCTACAGGGCACTTAGCCTACCCCCTTCCTGCCCAGGCCAATTTCCAGCTTTCAGCGCTGTCACACTTTGAATGACAATTGCACGGTCATGCAGCACTGTACCCATATGAAATTTTTATAATTTTTTTGTGACAGATAGAGCTTTATTTTGGTGGTATTTAATCACCTCTGGGTTTTTTATTTTTTTCTTAAACAAACCAAAAAAACCACTGAAAATGTAGAAAAAAAAACGTTTTTTCTTAGTTTTTGTTATAACATTTTGTAAATAAGTGATTTTTCTCCTTCACTGATGTGCACTAATGAGGTTGCAGTGATAGGAACTGATAGGCTGCACTGATGGACACTGATAGGTGGCACTGATGGGCACTGATGAGGAGACACTGATAGGTGGCACTGATAGGCAGCACTGACTGGCACTGTTAGGCGGTACTGACTGGCACTGTTAGGCGGCACTGATAGGCAGCACTGACGGGCACTGATAGGCGGCACTGATGGGCACTGATAGGCGGCACTGACTGGCACTGATTGGCATTGATAGGTGGCACTGACTGGCACTGATGGTTGACACTGAAAGGCAGCTCAGATGGGCACTGAAATGTGGCATTGATGTGCACTGGTAGGCACTGATATGTGGCATTGATGTGGCACTGGCAGGTGGCATGGATGAGCACTGACAGCTGGCACTGATGACACTGATGGACACTGACAGGTGGCACTACTGGGGGGGCTACACAGATCATGAGGGCACACTGATCATCAGTGCCTTGATGATCAGTGTACATGTCCCCTCCAAGGAATGCCGATTACCGGCTCTGCTCTCTTCTCAAGCTGTCAGCGAGACAGCTCGTGAGGAGAGAAATGCCAATAACCGGCATTTCCCTATTTACATGTGATCAGCTGTGATTGGACACAGCTGATCACATGACTGAGCCGACATCTTCGGCTCTTTTCGTTGATCAGTGATCCGCTGTGTCCGAGGGACACAGCATACAGCCGATCTCTGCGCGCTCCCGGAGCCACGCATGCGTGGTTAGAATGGGAGGATGTCATATGACGTCCTCCCAGAACGAGAGACCTGCCTTGCGCCCGCCATTGTACTATATGGAGGGCAGGAGGCGGTTAAGAAAGGACTCAAAATGCATTGTGTCTCCAAACATTTTAGGATATGTCACAACAGGGACCTTAGGGGTCTGAAATTTTGGGGTATTGAAAAGGTTAATAGGATTAGCTTGGGGGGGGGGGTCATTTTGTTAGGCGATTGAGACATAGAGAATTGTTCTGGATATACTGGATATATGAGACAAATGTTCTCTCTCCTGCTGGCTTAAATGTTGATTTTGATTTGAATTGTTTTATTTTTGATTGTTGTTTATATTTTTATTGTATAATTTTATAATTATTTTTATATTATTTTTTATGTGGGAGATGGCTGTGGATGTCTTTCAGCATGTCATTTATCAATCAAATACTGTTTTTTTCAGTTTTGTTGAATTTTATATGTGATTTTTTTTAATGTCCCCATAGGTGTATGTATTAGGTTTTTGCTGCCTTGGAGGTCACATTTGGCCACTTCCAGTTGTTAACGTGTTTAGGCAAAATTATGGATCTATATTTGAATATACATATTACATCTATTGAAGAGCAGACTTCTGCCGCTAGATGTATTTGTCCTATTTTATCTATGTATAACTTTTTAGTAAAGTCCAGTGCCTGGCGTTCCGATTTCCATGACGACGGTGCTGGTATATGTGAACTCGGGTGGTTTACGTGACTCATCTCCCATCCCCCCTGACGAAGTCCCACCCAGGACATAACGCAGATGGGAGGAGGAATCTTGTTCACTGATGTCACCCGCTGCCATCTCGGATACACTGGGATACACGTGCCATAATTTGCACTGGGATACACGTGCCATAATTGTGAGAGTGATTTTATGCTACAGTAAAGTTTTATATTTTGCAGCAGAGAGCACTATTTGTCTCTTTTTGATTTTTTGGGGTATACTATGATGCATCTGAGGAACCACCTGTCTAGACCAGTGCGGATGCCCTTGGGAGTTCTGAATGGGAAAAGCGTTATATGACCATCCTGTTAGGTCAGGGGTCATATTTATAAGGTGAGTAGCCAAGATTGTCTTTGGTGATAGGAAAAAGTACCTTTCTCACTGGAATGAGCAATCTATCATATATATGATACACCATTTCTGTTCATCAATGCTGGTGTTCCATTTTCATATAAGGACATCTGTATTGGTGGTCTATTTCCACATAAGGACTTTATGGACTTGATAGACAATTGGAAAGAAACAAATGGAAGAGATATGTTTTCATCTCAAGGGCAATCAAATGTAGCACTACCACCCTAGGAGTTTTAATATATTTGGTTCCCCCTATAGCCCTGTACAGCCAGGCAACATGCATTTCCTTCACTCAGACTTGCATCAGAAGATAGTAACTAGTCCTTGAGCTTTGTTTTGAAGTTTTATTAAGGGGTTTAGAACTTGGATGGGGTAAGGTGTGTATGGGATGCCCAAGGGAATGGCAACAGAGGGCAAACTCCTTAGCAACTGTGTACATTTCTTTACAGCAAAAATCCTCTTTCTTTTGGAGAGCTAGCCAGCATCTCCTGTTGTACCACCCCAAACCCCAGATGACTCCTCTCCTCATCCATCTGTGCTAGGTAAGTCCATGGGCAGGGGAACCAGTGCCTGCACTGCAGTGTGAAACAGTCCTAGGCAAGATAGCAAATACAATTTCCCACTAGAGTGCACCTTTCCCTTTACTGGTCCAGGGGGTGCAGGTTTACTCACTTGGTCCTTCTCCTGTGTTGTCGGTGGGTCCTTCCCTGTCACACAGGTGATCCTCTCTCAGGGGGCAAGCTCCAAGTTTTTAGCCTGCAGGCGAGCCCCTCTCCATCTGGGTCCCCTTAAAGGCTCCTGCCTCCAGCCTCTCACATCCTTCTCTCTCTTCCACCCAAACTCTCCTGCTGCTGAGCAGGTTTAGCTACTCTTAAAGGTTGTCCTGGCTCCTTGCCAAGTCTTCTGTTGGGGATTGGCCAGGATCCTCTAAGAGTACAAAACAGCCACTCCTTTCTCCAAAGTTCTAGAGCAAGGGGAAATTCCAGAGGGGCTGGTCAGCAGAGCCTCTCAGCCCTGACCCAGTTTTGACCCCCTGCTAGCTATTACTCCCAGGCTGCGACTCAGCCCTAGCTAACAATTGGAGTCTAGCTACCTAGGAGGGTGCTTCACAAGAAAATGTTTATCCGCTTTTAAATAGGAACCTGTTCAAGCAGATTTATCTCCATTAATTTTTTATGAACTACTCCATCAGCTTTGAACCGGAAATATCAAATTGATAAAGACTCTTGGCATTGGAGTAATTTAGGTAATTTCCATTACTATTTTTATGGTGTTGTCCCTTGAAACCAAAAAACATTTCAAACAGTAAGTGGCAGATTTCTATAGACTATTCAGTTCCAAGAGGTTCCATTTTTTTAGGCTGATAGAAAACTTACAAAAAGTTGCCAAGTACACCACACAAAATAAAACTAACAGGATAAACCTAAATGGTGCTAATGCCGAATATGAACCTAAAATTTAAAAAAGATTGTAAATACCTGTTTTTAGTTTTAAAAATCATCTCCCAATATTTCTTGTTTTTAAAATATGCAGCGGTGGAGGAGTGTACACTTATTGTATCTATTGTGTCACACTGAGGTACAGCAAAAGAAGGATGTTACAGGAATGCAATATCCCCCTTTTCAACAGCCAGTGAATATTTCACCGTTGAAACATCTGTCTTTTGCTGTACCTTGGTGTGTCACAATAAATTCAAGGGGCTTCCTTCCTAAATAATAATAAGTCCTTTAACTCTTAACTTCTTATTTCTGCTATTGATGTAGGATGATTATTAAGGCCTTCCTTTTGTGCCCATAATACTTGTAGCAATGATTTTCTAAGCATCTGTTGGAGTATTTGTCCCTTCTGCCATTCCAAGTGGACCTGCCCTAGCTGGACCTCACAACTCATTAACATACCAAAATACCAGTAGTGATAAAATAGATTTTATTTAGGCACAAACAAGCCCTGTAAGGAAAGTTCTGTTTAAACAGATGTAAAAATGGCAGGCTTAACCTGATTTCAATCACTGCAACAAATATAAGTGCAACAAGGTAAATGCTGTTCGTTCTCCTAGCTGGTTGTGAAATGGTCCTGCCAGAATTCACTAGGCAGTTGAAAAGTGAGTGACCAAATTTTTTTTAGATGTGTTTGCTGCCATCAATTTCAAAATTACTTTTTTCTGACACAAGCATGACAGCATACATGTGTGGGTACAGGCTTCACCCGCTGCCCAGTCACAGGACCGGTTATACTGTATAAATGAGTCACCTTCCCCATGGCAGCATTCTCCTTTTTTTCCTCACTGCTCAGCTGATTATGGAATCGTTTATAGCAGAATTTTTACTCTCTTCTTGCTGGATTCATCTGGCCTAGCTGCACAGGTTTAGCCTCTCCTGTGGTGAGGTTGCAAAGCTCCTATAAGAAGGAAGCCTCCCCCTTGTCAAGGTACTGGGGTTGGAGGATGCTAAGCTCTAGGAATTGCATAAGTGCCTCCTTCACCATGACTCCATGACATTTATTGGACTTCCTGCTGGCTATGGGACGTTCAGGTGGTAAGGCACCACTTGAAGCACAAGACAATAGTACTCAGCTGCTGTTATACTGTTAAGAGTTGTCTACAGGCATCTCAGATTTGAATCTTGCTGGGCTTGTTGTCCAGAGTCCTGTCTGTTTTGTCAATGCCTCACAGGTTGTGGCTTGTGTCTGCAGTACTGCTAATGCATGGGCTAATAGTGTAGGTGTCTGCTGTTGCAGAGTCGGGTCTTTCCTATTAGCCCAGCAATGCTTGGCATGTTGGCTTGGCTTAATGTGTATTAATGCTTTGAAGGAAAAAGTTTACCTTTTGGACAAAAATAATAAATGCACATTTTTTTCAGGTAAAAAAATGTCAATTAACTATTTTGACCAAAGGAGCCTGGAAAGCATTGCACCAGCAATCAGTAGATTGTTAATGCTATGCAGGTCTCCTACAGCTCAGCTACAGCTAAAAACAGGTGGAACATGTAACATGTTCCAAAGATGAACTTATTCTTTAACTTACCAGGGCTAATTTTCTGGTGCCTATTAACCCTTCGTTGCTTTGCCTTTGATATACTAACGCTTCAGTACTCAATATCAGTTCTAATGCCTAGGTGAAACCAGAGCTCTGCTTAGCTTGCATTGCCTATTGGACATAAATCTGTACTTGCTTCTGTCTGATGTGCCTCACACCTTGTTCGGGGGCCCTTGGGCACTGCGAATGATTGCTGACAACTGGTTGGCTGAGGCTTTTGGGTTTCTGTGGCTGTTTGCGGACTGCTCCTTTCGCAGTTGTGAGTGCGGCAGGTGGATTTGTGAATTGCGCCTTGTAGCACATTACTGCTAATGTCCAAGCCAGTACTACTAGATATTTGTTGTGCCTGTAGTCCTTCAGCTCATCTGCGAGCCAGAAACCATGAGCATAGAAATGATCATTAAGGCGAGGGTCAGGTAGGTATATATTATTCTAAAAAAAAGAGGGCACATTATGGGCATGATGGATTTCAAATCTCTCAGCTCTCAACACCGCAGGCTCTTCAGGCCTGGCAGTGTCAGAAGAGGACTTTCACTGTCCACTAGGACAATTGCATTGTTGCTGGTCAAGGTAGCTGATGGGCTTATATGGCGAAGATGATCCACCAATTAAGCTCAGAGCCCACTTTATCAGATTGCTCACACATGGGCAGAATTCAGAGGTCCTGGTTATTCTACAGGATGGCAACTAAGTTCATGTAGGGTGCATTTCCAGCCTATTACAAACCATTTATAGCCCATTACAAAGTTGATCAAGCAACACTGACAACAGGTGAGTTTGGCTTCAGTTCTAGACTGTTCCATCAGACTGTC